ATTTTTGATATATTTTATTTTTCTTGTATAAACTAGTATTTAAAATATGTTTATATTTTAATCAAAATATTTCAATATACGAATAAAAATATATTTATATAAATGTATATTTATATTTAGATGTATAAATAAAAAAATATATTCATATATTAATGTATGAATCATTTATATTTTTTGAATATTTTATTTTTAATAAGAAATTAAAATTATTAATTATATTAGAAATACTCAACTTAAGATTATATATATAATCATGAATTATAAATATGAAAAATATAATTATTAAATTTAGTTTAAAAATATATAAATCTTAAATTTATTCTTTTAAAATATTGTATCAGCTAATATTTAAAAAATATATTAAATCTATCAAACAATTTATCAAATATAATATTTTTTATTGTAAAAAAATATAATATTTCCCATCATTTATTGCTTTCAAATTTTTTGCCGAAGTTCAAATCTCATTATTTCCATTTTCCATTATATTCTTTTTTTTCTGGCATTGGTCATACTATTAGTATATGTATTATTGTATATCTCTTAACACAAACGATGGTGTTAGCTTAATAGCTCCACCATGTATCTTTCATTTGTGTGACTCAGGTTTGAGTTTGCCCAAGACCCAAATTTTACTTCTTTGTAACTTAATTTTCTTCTAATTAGGTGGTGACATGTGTCACCAATAACATATATTATGATCATGTGTTAACACATGTCAGATCCTGGTTAAATGATTAATTTATTTAATTTTATTTAATTTAGGACCAAATTGATAGCATATATAAATAATTAGGTGGTGACATGTGCACCAATGACACGTGTCATGATCATGTGCTAACACATGTCAGATCCTAATTAAATGATTAATTTATTAAATTCTATTTAATTTAGGACCAAATTGATTATATAAATAATAAAGACTGAATGTATAATAATGTCAATTCCTTTTAACTGCCACTTCATCATTTGTATCAATTGGTAACGACTAGTGGCTTAGTTGAAACAGTTAAATAATTATGTTGTATGATTGATAAATTTAAAAGATCGATGACAAAAGTAAAAAGGGCTAGATAGTTAAGTTGTCAACCTAGTAGTTTACACTTTTATTTATACGTCAAAATAACATTTTATAAATTTAAAATTCGAATTATTTTCAACCTCTTCTATATCCTAACTACTTTTTTTAATTAAAAAATTTCTTCAACAGATAAGAATTATACTATTATATTTATATAAAAAATACGTATCACATGAAATAAGATGAAATTAAATAATAATAAATCTGACATAATTGAATTTAATTGAATTATTTTGGAATTTAGGGTTTAGAATGAAATTGAATTACTTTGGAAATTGGGGTTTAGAATGAAATTGAGGACTGTTTTGCAAGTTTTAAAAGTTGGGGGACCTAAATTCAAGTGTCTGAAAAGTTCAATAACCTTTAATATAATTTACCCTAATTTCTAACGGTGGTTTAAGTTGGGGGACCATATTGCAAACAGAATAAATGTTGGGGGACTGTATTGCAAGTTTTAAAAGTTAGGGGACCTAAATGCAAGCTTCAGAAATGTTCAGTGACCATTACTATACTTTACCCTAATTATATTTACTGAAATATGAACTACTATTTAAAAGTTAGTTTTTAAGGTTAAAATCCATAACCCTAAAAACTTTATCAAGCAATTGAAAATGGCTGTAGAGAAAACATCAATGGAAGCCTGTATCTTCTTTGTCCTCTTCATCATCTCTCTGGAATAGAGAAATCATCATATGGATTATCTAACGGGCATCTGCCACTTCTCTCTTTCTTTCCATTTTTTAGTTTCTAAGATGAACTGCGTTCACTTTGAAATTGTAGCAGACCTGAAAGTGATGCATTCTATTTTGTTCCATCACCGATAATCTCAAATCTCATTTCCTCAATTAATCTTTTACAATTGTTTTAGTTTCTCTTTGATCTAACCCCAAAATTTTGTCAATGTCTTCTTCTCCAATGTTCTCTGTCTTAGTCTCCACGTTAAAACCCAACTATGAATCCAAACCTTTTATTTGTATGATATGACATTGATCCAAAACTAGATTAGGAGATGGAGAATATGCCTTAAGGATGAATCATGTGAATATAGCGATACTTCCCACATGCGATACTTTGATTATCAACGGAGCTCAAGTTGATACTATTTCGTTGGTGTGACGGTATTTGCAAACTCCTTTAGTGGTAAGACTTAGGGGTACTATAGGGTTTGGAATAGAGATATAACTTGAGGATATATGAAAATACAAACCTCTTTCTCATTTCATGGTCTAAGTTTCTGATTTGAAAGGTAGTCTTTGACAATTTAATTTATTATGTCATAACGTTGTTAGACAGTTAATGGTAGAATGATAAAAAAAATTTAGGATAAACTACTTTAATTACTATTAATCTTTGAGTGTTAACTCGTTTATACTACTAAAGTGTCTGATTTGAAAGGCAGTCTTTGACAATTTAATTTATTAATGTCATAATGTTGTTAGACAGTTAATGGTGAAGTGATAAAAAAAATGAAACTTACTTTAAATATCATCAACCTTTAAGCACTGACTCGTTTATACCACTAATATTCTAATTTTACTAATTTTGGCATTATCGTTTACTTTTAAGTGCAATTATATCATTAATCCATTAATGATTTAACGTCACGATGACATGACAGTTCTATGCCTTGACGTTGTTGACATGGATGCCTCACTAAAACGACTTCATTTTGACACAACTATTTAGGTGCTCAATAAACACAAACAAAACGACGTCGTTTTAATTAAAATTTATTAAAATATTGTGTGCCTCAAGGGATTAGAACCCTAAACCCATAAAATACAACTTAATGTTTAACAATTTGGCTACTTAAATTCATCACCAATACACTGTCTTCCTCACACGCACTTGGTTATTAGCTATCTAGGGAAAGGATCTTATTCTTCATTAGAAGAAGAAAAAAAAAGAAGACGAACTCTTCCTCTATTCTTCAAAGTGTTTTGTTTTTAACAAATAAACAAAGTAGAGAACTAGAGTTGGAGCATCCCAAGTTTTCTGCCTAGCTGCTTGGATTTAAAAGGGAAAGTTGCAGACCCCATTCATTATTTCATATGAAGAGATCTTTCAGTGTGAGTTGTTCAATCATTGTTTTTCCTTTTTGACTTTCTGATTTCTTGTTTTAAAGTTTTTACTTATTTCTCCTAGAATGGTCTAAATTTGTGCTTTCTTTCTCTCTAAAAATCTAAGTTTCTGGACTCCGAACAAGTTCACTGTTGGGATCTAAATGAGCAAATAATTCATCATTTTAGCTTTTTTCCATGACTTGGCGGGTACGGTCGCGTTCGGTTCTGATAACTATGCTATTTTCAGGCTTACTTTTATTCACATTGTTGTTAATCTAGCTTTCTTTTCTGTTATTTGAACTCTGAGTTTGCTGAATGGTCATACTTATCTAAATTAGTAGATTGTGCATATATCCATTTTGAACTCTAAGTTTGTTCAATGGTCATATTTAACCCAACGGTTGAGCATTAAACTTTATGTTTATGGGTTTAGGGTTCGATTCCCTTACGTACACTATTTCAAGTAAAACGACATTGTTTTGCGTCACGGAGTAATATAATTGTATTTGAACATTAACCTAAACACTAGTGCTAAAAATTTAATGTATAAAACTTAGTAATTAAATTAAGAAAAATTAAAAGTATAATGAGTGAAATAAGAGAAGGAGAAAGATAATTTATAATTTACCCTATTATTAAAGTGAAGAACTAAGCTTGACAATGACTTGTGCAATCACCAATAAAGTGAGATGGAAGCAGAATGGAGAGAAGGTTGAGCATTAAACTTTATCTTTATTATTAGTTGGATAGAACAATCATACATATTAAAAGAACAAAGCAGTACATACTAATGTATAATCCAAAGATGTAAAGAACTAACGGGCTGTTGTAACCAACTAACCCATCTAACTGATAGCTTTCTTAATATTCTTTCTCATGAATGGTTTCTCCAAGCCTACATCAAGTCTTTCCTCCTTTGACTCCGCCTAATGTTGTAGTGCAGGGAACACCACTACGCTTGATCCAGGCATCACCTGAATCGAAGAACTTAGGAGGAAGGTATTGAGCAGCGTCCCCCGCCGTCATCATCTTAACTCCAGGCCATTTAAAGCGCTCGGATGTGGAAGTACCAGGCCCACTGTTTTGGAACTCAAGGTACGTTCACTTTTTGTTTCCCGAAGTGGATTCCATGTCTGTCCAACCATCTGGGTGCACCATATCATCGATGTAAGTTTCCATTATAATTGTTGTTGACAGAGTCCCCCATTGGCGACAAAGGTATACCGGGAACTGTTTCTTCACCGGGGAGAACTCTGGAGCAGATATGATTTGGCGGCTCTTTACTATCGCTTCTCTTTTGTGCCGTAATGATGTTTTGCATTCCCTTTTGTGGCTTTCGGACGAGGAATGTGCAATTCTGGAAAATCACCGATGCATCACCGAATATGAAATCGATTGCTCCGGAGATGGTGCAGTCCCGATAGAATTGTCGTTTGGTGAATGCATAAAGCGTGTCTTGGTAACCGTCTATGGAACAATCGAAGAAGACTGAATCTTCCGACTGTACTCTCAACGCCACCGCTTGCTTTTTCATTGGATTTGGCCCTGCTGAATTCTCGAACGCTATGTTTTTTGCTATGAAGTTGTTTCCATCCACAGCTACAACGCAATATATACAATTATCATTACCGTATACATAATCATAAACTATGCATTTGTATAAATATATATAATTACTGAATGTTGCAGTGAAGTAGGTAGTGGGATTTCCACCCGGACCGGAGCTGATACTTCCGATGATTCGGGTTTTATCTTTACCATCTCGGATGAGTACCACGTACGACATTTCAGCAGCGAGTTCCACATGCTCGGCTTAAACTCCATCCTTGACGTGTATCACAAAAGGCTTGGTGGATTTACGGAGGGATTTTTTGTTTGGCTTCATTTAGGGTTTTGCAGTCTCCACTGCCGTCCTTGGCCACGACAAGATCGGGCTTCAAATCATCCGACAACATTCTTCGAGCTCTTTCTGGAATATTTAGCTCAATATCTTGGAGTAGCCGACGACGATTCCATCCTTGATTCTTTTCTCTAAACGAAGTCGAATCAGAATGGCCGAGAACCGGAAGTCTATCCTCATTTTGTAGTAGTTGACGACAGCGATTCCAGTTCTGATTCTTTTCTCTAAACGAAGTCCAATCAAAATGACCGAGAACCGGAAGTCGATCCCCGTCTCCGAGTATACGGCGGCGGCGGCGATCAAAGAGTCCCTCAACCTGCAACTGCTGAAGCTGGTCTTCTAATTCACATGCGATTGCAAGTCCATTTCTACTGAGTTGCATCGTGATATTGAGAATCTTCTTGATTTTGAGTGAAGCATGGGTTTTGGATTTCGTTCTTTCGAACCCATCTAAACAAGCTTGTTGGTAAGCAATGGTAGCACTCAACCAAATCTTCAAATCACCCAGCAGTTTATGAACGTTGATGACATCTACCTCCTCAACCACATCAAATAATTTTTCAAGTTCGCGTACAGTATCATGCAATAGAATTTTGCATGCATCTAAAGCACTTTTGGTCCCGTCATCTTCCTCAAGTTCCCTCAGGTACGTCGAGTTCTCCACCGCTCGATTCACATGCTTCATCGTTACCTTAAACGCTGCTCGAACCAGGTCTTTAACGTCCGTCCTATTTCCGGCTTCTTCCGTGAGTTGTTCTTCATATGCATCCTTGAACTTCGTTGGTTCACAGATCAACTGGACCGCCTTCTTTGAGGAAGAGGTGATAACATTTTTATTCCCATTCGTGGTTTCTTTGTCTAACTCGGCTTCTTTCTTGCCGCCGACCCCAACCGTCACAGCAACCACCACAGCCACCAAGAGGCAAGAACTGACGGTGATGATTGCGATAGTCCTCGTCTTCTGAGCATCCTCAGGGTTAGCCATTGTTGGAATATATAACTTTTATTGGGAAAAAAAGGCAATATTAGAGGAGCAGCAAATATTTTTATTCTTTTTTGCTAACTCCTTCGAAGGTGATGGAAAGCCTATTTTCTTAGTTACAATAACATGATCCGTTCTGGATTAGGGTTATTTTTAACATCATAAAACTTGAGCTTCGGCAACCAATTCGCAAGTCAAAATGATCTTAGTCGAAAATGTGGTCGAAATCATCGGCCACAAATTATTTTTAACTATATGTCGCGGCTGTTTTTCTCTTGGGCCCGAAATTGGGCTTCGACTTGAAATGAGTGGGTTAGAGTCGCCCCCGATTACTTTAAAAATATTTAGGTGGATTGGATACCATCTTACAAGATCTGCGTTTCAGCAGAAATGTGTCGGGTTCGGGGGTCGGTTACGGTCAAGGAAGGATTAACACCCTTGAACCGCCCTTTCGGTACCAATTAATTTGTTTGTTGTCTTAATTGCGAAAAATTAAAAATTAAAATTAAAATTTAAAAACCCGATTCGAATTACTTACCTTTGATTGGTTGGAAATCTTCTAAAAAAGGAATCAAAAATATTGGATAAAAGTATTAAATAAATCCATGAACAAAACAAATAAAAATAATAAAAATAAATAAAATAATAAATCAAAAGGGAAAAAAGAGAAAATAAATAAATAAATAAATAAAAAGGAAAAAGGAAAAAAGAGAATTAAAAAAATAAAGAAAGGAAAGAAAAAATAAGGAAAAAAAAAGAATAAGTCAAAAGAAAATAAATATAAATATAAGATAGAAAGATCATAATAATAAAAATAATAAAAAATAGAGATAAAAAATAATAACAATAATAATAATGAAAAAAAAAACCCAAAAAAACAAAAACAAAAAATGAAATGAAATAAAAAAAAAAGTTAAATAAAAATGAAAAAAATAATAAATAAATAAATAAATAAAAGGGACTAAATTGAAATAATAACAACTTGGGGGTACAATTTAAGAGAGAATTGGAATAAAAAATCGAATTGTGGGATACAAAAAGGGGCTTAGAAAACCCGAGGGGTTAAAAATGCAATTTACCCCTTTCACCTTGAAAACGTGCGGATCCAGCGTCCGGATCGGGTCGTGCGCGAGTCGGGCAGACGGGTTATATAAAACCCAGTTTTTCACCCCAAAATCTTTAATTTCTCATTCTTTCAAAATAAACCTCTCTCCCAACTCTCTCAGTTCTCTCAATGTTCTCTCACCCAGGCAATATCTGGCCACCGCCTCCAACGGCCGAAAAATTCAAATCCCCCTAAAACGTTCTCCTCAACACCCTTAAACTAAAACCGAGCCCCAAATCCCCTACAAACGCCTCCTCCGATGTAGATCTAGGAAACAAACTTCAGGTTTTTTTTACCTTTTTTCGCGAGACCGCTCGTTTTTCGGTGACCGCTCTTCTCCCCGGCTTGCTTTGATTTCTTTAATGTCTTGTATCTCTGTTTTGGTTGGTTTGACTGTTGGTCGTTCGATATATATGGTTTTGTTTTTTGTGTTTGGTTTGTGGTTGTGCCTTGTTGGTGTTTTCGTTGATGCGTTTTTGTCGTTTGTTGGTTCGATGATGATGCTCAGTCTTTCTGTTGGTTTGATCGATGATTTCGATATGTTTTGCTCGTTGTTCGCAGTGTTGATGTCGCCTCTGTTGTTCGCCTATAAGTTATTTATACAACCTCCTTGATGAGGTTGTTTCCGGTTTTAGTGGGGCTGGTTTCTCTCATTTGGGGTTTGTTGTTAACTAGCCGAAATCTCGAGATGGGTTAGTCCCGGGATCTTCGGTCGGACGCTTTGGCCGACCGTTCGCATAACCCTTGGTCTCTTTACTGTGCGGCGCTGTTAACTGACTTTTGGACTGTATTTTTGGACCTGAACCTTGGACAGAAAACAAACGAAAAATAAAAATAAGAAATAAATAATAATAATAATAATAATAATAATATATTATATATATAAATATTTTCAAAAACATATAATATATAAATTTCCAAAATGTTTTAAAACTATATATTATATATGTTTTCAAAAATGTTTTAAAAAAATTATATAATATATATATATATTTTCAAATATGTTTTAAAAAAACTATATATTATATATATTTTCAAAATGTTTTTAAAAACTATATAATATATAAATGTTTTCAAAATTATATGTTATATAAGTTTTCAAAATGTTTTCAAAACTATATATTATATAAGTTTTCAAAATGATTTTAAAAACTATATATTATATATATTTTCTAAAATGTTTTAAAAACTATATATTATATAGTTTTCAAAAATGTTTTAAAAACTATATATTATATATTTTCAAAATGTTTTTAAAAAACTATATATTATATACGTATTTTCAAAAACTGTTTACAAACCATATAATATATAGATATATATGTATAAAATAAAATATAAAAAATATATGAACGAAAATGAGTGTCTACACTATCCATTTAAAAAACAATCAAATCACTGAATTGGCCTTGCACTTGTAATTGGTTTCAGATAGATTAGTCAGTTAAAGAATTTCTACTTTAAAACCTTGAGGCAACAGTGTGTAAAAAGATATAGCTATGCAGTTAAATCATTTAAAGTTTAAATAAAAATTAAAAAAAACAATTAAATTAAATAATAATCTCATTGTTCAAACGGTTAAGTAGCATTTACATCCCGCTGTCAATGGTTTGAACTAGAGGTGGTCCCGTCATGAATCTGATTTTATAATATTATTATAAAATACTTTTGCATGCTTGAATCAAATTTAATTGATTGTACACTGACAGGGTTATCTGTTTAGTCTATATGGTTATGCATCCTTGTGTATGCCTTTATGAGTTTTTTATGATTTTGAATATAATTGTATGAAATATTGCATTACGCAATAGACTAATTTGTAAAGAGCAAGTTATTAATTTTTTATTATGCATTATACTACTTCGTGATGTTTTGAGCTTTGACTCACAATATCTTCAACTTCAACTCTTATTTTATTCTTCGACTCCACTATTTAAATAAATAAAACTCTATCTATTTGGTGATTAGTAGATGGGTGAATAGTTAGAGGTTTATTAACATGTGTATGCATTTTTCATGCTTGTTTGATCTGTGAGATAATTCTTGTATGTAACATTTTATATAATAAGCATGACCATTAGTGCATTTACTCATCAGACTCAGCTTTATAGCTCATTTAGTGTTTTCCTTCCTTCCAGATTGATTTGGTACATCAAATCTTAGACTCGACATTAAATGAAGATGATCATGTTTAAACTATTTCTGTTTTTTAAGTATTGTATCTTATTTTCAGTTGTGATTTCTTGAATATCTTATCGGACTTCTAAGACTTACTTTGAACTTTAAAAACTTAATTTTGAAAGCGATAATCAGTTTTATTTTCTGCGACATCTTAGATTTAATCATAACATATAGGTATGTTTTAAAGTGTTACGGTTAAAATTTGATAATGTTAGGTATGGATGCCCTACATGTATTGATGAATATGTGGCATCAGATGTCTCTGAAAATGATACGGTAGTTGTATTACCAGGAAACATGGATTTTTGAGGACGTGTACATCCTTTGACAAGGGCTAGCCACCTTGCTTGTCCTCTTTCGTTGCTTATGCTCTTGCTGGCATTGTAGATATTGATTTTGAGTCATGCATAGTTGGATCGTGGAAAGATGGAAAACAAATCTTTTGCAGGGATGTTTTGTTTTCTAGTGAAGTAGCGGCTAATGTTATACAATTTAATGTGCTGCACGACATGTTTAAAGCAGCATGTGAAGCAATCACCAAAGAAAATCCCATGCTGAATCTTAAGGACAATGTTATGTTCAGAGATTGTTAGCGTGTATAACCTGGAGTAAGCTGTTTGCTTAGCTGGCTTCTCACAGTTAGATTTGTTAGAGTCAGTTAAGGTTGTTGTGAGTTGTTGTAACTGTCAGAGCTTCTAGAATTGCTCTTATCTGGTGTATAAATGTAGCTCTCTTCGATTGAGAGAAAACGATTTTTTTGTGAGATGAATCAAGTTCTATAATCTTGCTTCACGTTTTCTTCTCGCTTCTTTTAGTTTGCTCTTCCTTGTAACTGTCAAATGCTATAGTGAAACTATAACATGGTATTGTAGACACTAATTTTTCACTTTCATATATTATTATTATTATTATTATTAATATATTATTATTATTATTAAATAAATAATTACAAATCCAAAACCCTAAACCCATTTACAAGGCCCGTTTACTGCTGTCCCAGACCAAAAGGAAACCCTAAACATTTGGGGTTTTAGCTAGGGTTTCTAAACCCTAGCACTTCAGCCGCCGCTGCTTCCAGAAGTTTCTGCCAGGTGCCTCCTCCAGCTGCTGCCGACGCCTCCCAAGCTAGATGGTCCAACCAGCTGCTGCCGACGCCTTGTTGCCACGCCGTCGCCTCAATAAAGGCTCCAGAATGCCAGATAACAGCCCACAACCATCCCTACGATGAGTCACCAGCCTAGCTTTGGTGACTCACCGAGGTTTTCCTCTCGGGACCGGTCCAAACAGAACATCATGGTGGCTATAAAAGCCATCGAAACCTGTAAAAGAAGAAACGGAGAGGAAGAGACGAACAGCCACGAAAAAAGAAGAGAGATACTAACATACGAGGAAAACAGAGGAGCAACAGACCAATACAGAACCCAGCAAGACCCAACACCAACAACAATAGCAAACTATCAACGATCTCAGTCAACAATAAATAAAAAGGAAGATAAAAAGAGCAACTTACCTTCGGAGTACCCCAAACGTCGTCGGAAACCACCGAAATTTGAAGGAAAAAATTTAGATCTGTGGAATTTGAGGTTTCTTTAGAACAAGGGGAGGTCATATTCGGGTTTAGGAGAGCACGACCTTCGTTTTGATGTATTTTGGCATTTTCCAGCCACAATGGATGGTGGCCGGCGGGGCAATTAGTGCCTAAACAAGGTGGTCGGTC